CCAACCCCACGGATCCCATCCCAACCCCACGGATCCCATCCCAATCCCACGGATCCCATGGATCCCATCCCAACCCCATGGATCCCACGGATCCCACGGATCCCATCCCCGTTCCCGCAGGGAAGAAGAACCTGGAGGAGGTCCAGCAGATGCTGCAGGTGGTGGAGCAGCTCATGGCCACCCTCAAGAGCCCCAGGTGAGGGGACACAGGTGACACCGGGCCACCCTCCCCGGGACCCGCCCCCCGCCTGACCCCGTTTTTCCCGCAGCGGATAACATCCAGGAAAACCCCCGGGAAAAGCAGGAGCCGCCCAGGAAGTGCCTCCCGCAGCACGGATGGCAGAGCCCGCCCAGGGCCACCCTCCCGCTGTCCCCGTGTCCCCAAAGCCACCCCGCCTGTCCCCTCGGGTGTACCCCCGCCTCCCGGCTGGAGCGGGACAACAGCCGGCCCCGAATTCCGGGACAACTCGCCAGAATGTGTGCGTGGAAATCCATGGGAAAAGCGGGATGGGGAGCGGGAATTCCATCCCGAGGGGCTGGAAACGCCCGAGGAGGAGGAGGAGGAGGAGGGACAGGGATGTCCTTGTCCCCAGAGGAAGAGGGACCGCGCTGTCCTTGTCCCCCCCCGCCCCGAATTTCGGGACAACCCGCCGCTCGTGTGGACGGAAATCCATGGAAAAATCGGGATGGGGAGCGGGAATTCCATCCCGAGGGGTTGGAATCCATCACAGCCTCACACAGAGGGGCTGGAAACACCCGAGGAGGAGGGACAGGGATGTCCTTGTCCCCAGAGGAAGAGAGACCGCGATGTCCTTGTCCCCCCGGCCCCCCCGGAGCGGGGCAGGGGTTTATTCCCAGGATTTATTCCCGGGATTTATTCCCGGGATTTATTCACGAGATTTATTCCCGAGATTTATTACCGGGATTTATTCCCAGGATTTATTCCCGGGATTTATTCCCAGGATTTATTCCCGAGGTTTATTCCCAGGATTCATTCCCAGGATTTATTCCCGAGGTTTATTCCCAGGATTCATTCCCGGGATTTATTCCCAGGATTCATTCCCAGGATTTATTTCTGGGATTTATTCCCAGGATTTATTCCCAGGATTTATTCCCAGGATTTATTCCCAGGATTTATTCCCAGGATTCATTCCCAGGATTTATTTCTGGGATTTATTCCCGGGATTTATTCCCAGGATTTATTCCCGAGGTTTATTCCCAGGATTCATTCCCAGGATTCATTCCCAGGATTTATTCCCAGGATTCATTCCCGGGATTTCCAGGCCGCGTTTCCTGTGGAAAATCCTTTTCCTGCCCGGCCGGTGCCAGGCGCCACCGAGGCCTCCCGGAGTGTCGCGGAGTGTCCCTTGTCCCCTCCCCGGCGCCCCGCGCTGTCCCCAGCGCTGTCCCCAGCCCCATCAGGGCACTGCCACCCCCCCGAGGATGGCGATGCCACCGCGTCCTCCCCGCCCCGCCCAGGGTGACAAAGGTGACAAAGGTGACAAAGGTGACACAAGCTCTGTCCCCAAGGCCTGGGGAGGGGGCGGGGGTGTCTCAGGCACTGCCAGAGGATTTCCTGCAATTCCTCCATGGATAATCTGGGAGCACCAGGTGCTTCCCGAGCCCGCGAACGCCGCCTGGGACGTGGCGGAGGGGGGTGGTGGTGGCACAGGGGTGTCCCCAAGAGGTGCCACCGCTTTTGGGGTGGCAGAGCCCCACAGTCCCCCATGGCTCGGGGGGGGTGGGGATTCCCATTCCCATCCCTGCGGGGATTCCATGGATCGGGATGGATCCCGGCGCTCCCAAAGCCCCTCCCGCTGAATCCTCGGGCTGTGGTGGCGCAGGGATGTCCCCCGTGTCACACTGGGGGTGGGGACACCCCGAGCTGGGGACACCCGGGGTGGCTTTTCCCCTCCCAGCTCCCCACGGCCAGGAAACGAGACCTTTTCCAGGGATTTATTTTTTTTATTTTGGGAATTCGGGGCTTGGCTTCCCACCAGCGAAGGGGACGACACCGAAGCCACCAAAGTCACCGCGGTTTATTCCGGGTGACACCGCGGTCCCCACAAAGCGTCACCGTCACTTCCCGACGCAGAAATCCCGAAAAATGATCTCCAGGACATCCTCGGCTCCCACGTGCCCGGTGATCCTGCCCAGCTCCCGCCGCGCCAGCCGCAGCTGCTCCGCTGCCAGCGCCACGTCCCCGATGGCCCCGGTGTCACCGGTGTCCCCAATGGCCCTGGTA